AATGTTAAGGCATTGACTCATGGATCAAAATGAGAGATATGTCGGTTAATAGTAACTTCTGGTCCGTATGCCGCCCTTCGGAACCGACCGCCCTGTTTATTCAGCGAGATGTGACTATTCCAATATATTGTAGGGCTTCTTCTTTAATAAAATGTTCAATATTACTATCAATAGAGAGTTGAATGATTAGGGAGATGGTCGACCGGGTATCAATTCAACAAACCACTTATTTTCCGATAATCCAACTCAATCTTCATGCCCCTTGAAGGGCATACCTTCGTAGATAATCGACCACGGTTTAGAAAACTCAATCAATATTCAAATTAAAAAATTTCACTGTGGTGAAATATATTCGTTTCAGTACATGAATCAAGAAATACTTTTCTTTTTATGATAGTAGGCGGCGCCTACATTTACGAGCCACCACTGCGGAAATTATTCTTTTCCGTCTACTCAACAAATTCGTTCCATTCCAATAACGGTGAAACCGTTATGAATTTTAACAAAATTTGGCACACTAGTTGACTCCATTGTTTTCAAAACAATTTGATAGGAAGCCAAATGTGATTACTCAATAAGGTTCTACCGCATAGTTGAATTTTCACGACTACGATGATGTGATCGCTAAGTGAACATGGAAAAATGTATAGAGTGTTCCATTTTCAATAACGAAGTTGAAGTGAGTATACGAAAAACCGGGAATGTGTGAGAATCACCCTGTACAAATTTTTCCAAAAATACAGTTGTCGGGAAATTTTACCGTTCAAGAGCTTTTACCCAACCCTGTCTATTTATTCAAACGACGTAGTTATTCCCGATTCTTAGATAATAAGAAAAATAGAGGAAACAAGATAGTTTACCAAAAACGGTAGGTCCTCTTGATACTTTTTCCTAATTTCGATCGAAATTTAGGAAATTTTCATTGCTCAAGCTTTTTCACAAAATTACCCATTGATATTCCGTCATTGCAATCGTGATTGATCAAATAATGTATCCGATTCATTCACTCTCATATAGTCTAGTCTTTTGGAAAAAATATTGATGTTCCAGGATACAGATTGGGCAAATGACCTTTTTGAATGTACTGCTCAAAAAGACATATCGGAGGGTATATGGACTAAGTTCAAATTTTCATTTCTCTGTGATTGAAATTACATCACAAAAATTAGGAAACTATATCATTTTATTTTGAAATCAGAGCAAATTGAATACGTATATATCAAGATATCATGTATGTACTATGTACAGGTTATGTCAAATTGAAACTTAAAAAAAAAAGTAAGGAAAGTACTATTTTCAAACTAGTTAGAAGAAATCTGATGTCGGTGCCTAAGGGGCAATTTTTATGAATTGTGAAAACCGCATGTCAATATCCATCATCAATTTAGAGTTAGCAGGTGTTTCAAGAAAATTTGCATTATTATTGAAAAGTGAGTAATAATTTCTTCATTTGCGAAAAATCATTTGCTTTCATGAAAACATTTTCGAAGCATGAGTTTGTCATGAACTTGATCCTCATGCCCTGAAATCAGTCTTCGCATATATGGTTTAAAAATACTTAGAACTTTTCATTAAAATGAACAACGTTTTCGAATATCACCATCACACATTTGAAAAATCAAATGAAATGGTACCCTCTTGATACTAGGCCACATGACCACAACCATTTTCATGCAAAAAAGTAGTAAAAGATGTACCCTTTTACCTGAATTTTACCTGACCTCACTAGCTTATTCCTTTCGAAAGTCAAAGGGGAGGAAGATTTTTTTTCTATGACTGTTGAAAACTAGACCCTTTTTATGTAACATTTTTGTTGGGTAACTGGATGCATTACACAAAACAAGCCACGCCCCGTGTGTAAGAGCCTTTACACAACAGGCTATGGCCAATCAGCAACAAAGCAGATTCATTACCTACAAAACAGTTGACACCAGTTGTAATGATAATATGGGGCATTCAGTGAAACGTTTGAATCAGACTCGTCATGAAATGTCATAATTTGACAATACATATCTGGCGTGATTTAGAACTGACTTTTTGTACAAATATGGATTCAGAAAGCGAAAATGAATTCAACTGCTCTCCACCATCAGACGTTTCGAAAGCTGCCAATTCAAGTACAATCAGCCTTTTGTCCGAGGAATCTAAAAAAAGGTATGAAGTGGTTTGGCGAAAAGCAAAACTTGCAAATTCGTTTTCGGATAATGTACCGCTAGCCTATTTTGGCGAATTAGCAGCTAAACACAAAGCATCCTCCTTGTGGTCACAGTATTCCATGCATATACTAAGAAGCACAATTTCAATGGAAAATTATGTGAATATTGACAAATATTTGAAATTACGATCATTTCCAAAAAGGAAATCTGATCGATATATGTCAAAGAAAGCGAAGATATTCACTGCTGATGAACTCAACCAGTTCATCACTCAGTCATAGAAAAAGTATAGTATTCTACTTGCGTGTAATGGCTATTACTCATTCGAATGATTACGACGTTCGCCTGCGGCTCACGTCGCAAACTTCATTCTCATGAGTAATGGCCATCATTACACGCTCGTCGAATAATATACTATTACGTCCTCACTGTATATTGTTTTTCTATGACTGTTGAAAAATGGTCTCTTTTTATGTAACAATTTTGTTATGTAACTGGATGTATTACACAAAACAAGCCACGCCCCGTGTGTAAGAGCCTTTACTCAACGTCCTATGGCCAATCAGCGACAAAGTAGATTCATTACCTACAAAACAGTTGCCCCAGTTCTACAAAATTGAAATGGAATCACGAAATGGAATATATGGGGCATGCAGTGAAACGTTTGAATCAGACTCGCCATGAAATGTCATAATTTGACTATTTGACAATACCTACCCAAGTATACCTGGCGTGATTTAGAACTGATTTTTTGTACAAATATGGATTCAGAAAGCGAAAATGAATTCAACTGCACTCCACCGGAGGTTCTAGAAGCTGCCAGTTTGAGTACAATCAGCCTTCTGCCCGAGAAATCTAAAAAAAGGTATGAAACGGTTTACCAGATATTCATGGATTGGCGAAAAGCAAAATAGGCAAATTCGTTTTCGGAGAATGTACTGCTAGCCTATTTTGGCGAATTATCAACTAAATACAAAGCATCCTCCTTGTGGTCACAGTATTCCATACTAAGAAGCACAATTTCAATAAAAAATGATGTGAATATTGAAAAATATTTAAAATTACGGGCATTTCTGAAAAGGAAATCTGATGGATATATGCCAAAGAAAGCAAAGATATTCACTGCTGATGAACTCAATCAGTTCATCACTACAGCTCCTGATAACATTCATCTCGCAACAAAGGTAAGGAAATTATGTGTTCTTAAAAAAATTCTTAAAATTTGTCCACTTAATTTGAAAAAAAATGTTCAAGTGATGTTAGAATTCCTTCTATAACAGGATAGTGTTCGTGGCTCAGTTGAATATGTGCTTGCATATGCATCACACAACGAAATTAGCGTAGGTACGAATCTCAACTAAAAAATTGTTTTTTTCTTTTTTTCAAAAATGTGTGGCTTCTTCGATATTTACTATAGTACGAATTATTTCTTACTGGGTAGAAAATATGATTTCTTATTTTTTTCTAGGTGGCAGCAGTAATGGGACTTATGGGTGCTTGTCGTGCGAACAAACTATATTCGATGAAAATTGAAGACTTTCAAGACCTTGGATCGGTTGCTCTAGTAACAATACCGAATACAAAGACGAAAATCACCAGAAAATTCACAGTCACCGACCGTGTTTGTTCGCTTTGTAAAAAGTATATAGAGCTACGGCCGAATAATGTTTCTATTAATTTTTTCTTCCTCAACCTCCAGAATGGTAAATGTACTAGTCAAAAAATTGTAATCAATAAATTCGGAGCAATGGGGAAGCAGATAGCACTTTTCCTGAAAAACGAAACGGAAGATGGAAATCATCATCGGTTGCAGAAGGATATATTGACGATTCCTTCAAAAACAAGATGGATACGGCACAAAAAATTGTTAACTCAATTGGACCTTCATCTTCAAATCCGAGGTCTGAAAAAATCGCAAATAATACATCCACTACTTCAAAAAATAATAACTTGAATCTGGAAATTGATTCCTCTTCCTCTACTCCCTCTATAAATATTTCCAACTGCACAAATTTCACCATGAATATTGTAACCAATAAATGAGTTCTCATTATCTTTCAAATTGAAATTGTTCGAAATAAACAATTGTTTTTTCAATAAAATATTCTCCAAATATCTCGTCCGTTTGAATAGTGAACACAGTCATAGAAAAAGTATAGTATTCTACTTTCGTGTAATGGCTATTACTCACTCGAATGATTACGACGTTCGCCTGCGGCTCACGTCGCAAACTTCATTATTATGAGTAATAGCCATCATTACACGCTCGTTGAATAATATACTATTTTGGATCTTCATAACAGATTTTTTTTCATTACCTAAAGCAAATAGCCATTACTTCTCCCAAGAAAAAAAATATCGACGCCCCTGGAGTTAGGTCGTTTGAAGAAAGAAGAAATAAAGCAAACTGCAATTTCATCATTTAAAAATATTGAGATTTGTCTCCAGTTTTCTTAATCCCGAATGGAAAACCTTAGTACACATAATTTTTTTTTATATTTCAGATATAGGTACGCTGGTTAATATAATATATCTTATTTTTTATAACATACTTTATCACGTATGAAGCTCAGCTATATCAGTCAGAATGATATTTATGATTATCGTATTCAAGTATTGCAAAATATCCCTCGAATCGCAAAAAACAATACAATGCATCTCTATATCAATTATCTACATCAGGATACTATGGTTAGTATGGGATTTATACGGAGAAAATGAGAATGAAGAATTCTGATGTGGCACTGTAATAACTATGGCTAATGATTTTATTCAATCCGGACCAGTGTGTGCGGTTATTTTAAAACTTCGGCACTCACGTTTTTATTTTTTGGAGAGCAACATGATTATTATTGTTAGGATCACGAGTAAACATCATCCAGCTCTCGTACAGTGTACGCGAATCCTTACATAATGTTTTGATCAGGAATCAATGTCATATAATAAGTGTACCTATAACCTTTCAGTGTCTTGACGCAAAAAGATTAGATAGTATGTAGGTACTTATCGTTGATCATTCCAAATTCTGATTGTAATTCCATCAGATACCTGACCGTTCCCATACATACAAACAGGTAAGTGTTTTGATAATTAATAACTACAAATTGATGAATATAGTATTATTTGTCTGATTCACGGAGAGCTCACCTACCAAAAGAAATAGTTTATTAATCAATTCGTGGGCATACGTATTATTTGGAACCATTTCAGCCACAATATTTTTAATTCGACATTTGTTTAGATTCCTTTTGATGCTTAAGTCACAAGGAATTTGAATGGTATTTTCAACAAATTGCAAGGGCTAAACTGAACTTACTGCAAAAATACCATGCATATATAGGCTTCTAGGCCACCTGAGGTTTTGATCAATACCATAATGATGAACAGGTATTTATGAGATTAATTGGAATGACTGTAACATGAAGAATATTGGGCAAACACGTCAAAGCATTGGCATAAGATTTAAAGAGCATATTGTTGCTCACAGAATTGAACTGTTTGGAACATATTTATATCAATCATAATAGAGATGATTTTAGGATCCATCTCCAGTTCCACACTTTTTGATATTCTTGTACATGATGTTCATTGAACCGATACCGCTTTCTGAACTGTGAAATAGAATAGAATAGAATAAAATAGAATACCTTTATTTATCCAAGAAGATCATTCAGTTATGATATAGGACAAGTCATAAAAGTTTTTAACAATTTTTATTATCACTCAAACTAATAACCAATCATCCATCCTCATATGTTCATACTTACCTACATGTGGTCATCACTAATCACACAAATCATTTACGGATCCTGAAAAGAGTATTGAAGGTACGGAATAAAAGGCATTTGCTAGCAATATCGATCTGATAGCTGACATAAACTCTTTCAAACTAGTCATGTTTTTTATTTCATTGTTCAATTTGTTATATAAGACTGTGCCCATATAATAAGGATTTGACTTGTACAATTCTAATCTATGGATATCATATTGTAAATTATACCCATATCGTGTTGGGTATATATGAGTAGCATTTTGATACACAAAGTCTGACATATTTAGTTTTACAAATTTCAGTATCTCAAAAATGTATCAACAAGGCTGAGTAAGAATAATTCGGTATAAAGGAAATTTCGATATACTCTCTCGCTGGTACTTTCTGGAGGATAACTCTATATTATAAAGTCACCTAATATTCATTTCCTGTTCATTTCTACTGAGGATGACAACTAAGTAGCCGAAATAGGTATTCAGGCTCTTCTAAATATTAGTTTAGTTAAATTCTGTAATCGACTTCCAGTCACCTTTGTCTATACTTGAAACATATGTCAACTATATATACTATACTATACTATATGGGAAAATTTCATATGCATTAATCCCTTTATGGAAAATTTACTATTTTCTAGGTTATTGTTTATTCCGAGATAATTGAAAGAATTTATTCGTATTCCTATTCACAAATACAGGGTGACCCTGTTGCTGAAAATAATAGCAGTGTGGGTATATTTACCTCTGTTCAAACATGCGAATGAAAAGGAAACATATACTGTGCAGAAACACTCCACCAGTTCTTGCCAATGGAATTCGCTATAAGTTGGCTTTGATTAGTGAAACATTTTCGCAATGGCATCCATATTCAACATACAGGGTGTTGGAAAAAAATTTCCCACACTTTTTTGCACGATTTATGCCGAAACTACTGGCACCATTGTATTGGAATATTGAATGAAAGCAGAATTTGCATGAATTTGTTTTGATATTTGACTCCTATAGATGGTAGTTCGTGCCTAGTAGATTCAAACATGACTCATTTGGGGCTATATCTTTTTGGTCAAATTCCATTTGTATTTGAACATCATCAAAATTTATATCAAAGGGATACTCTTGGTGAAACTCGATACTTTGTATCGTTTTCGAAATATATTGATTTGAAAATGATGAAGCAATAATACCGATGCTGGTAAGTATTATAAAAAACAATTACATATTCAACTAGGGAAAAAGCCAAATACTCAAAGTGGAATGCAATGGTCACAAAGAGAGAAACTCAAAGTCATTACCACAACTAGTTCATAAAATGAACGACAATGGTAGATAAGGAGAGAAAAACAACTACTTTCCTGGCTATATGCCACGCAGAACATTGCATTACATCCTCCGCAGCTCAGCGTTTAGGAAGGAAACACTTGCGATTTTATTCGTTTATACGAACTATCGCATAGGTTTCGGGAGGATGTAATGCAATGTTCTGCGTGGCATATAGCCAGGAAAGTAGTTGTTTTTCTCTAGTTATCTACCCTTGTCGTTCATTTTATGAACTAGCTGTGGTAATGACTTTGAGTTTCTCTCTTTGTGACCATTGCATTCCACTTTGAGTATTTGGCTTTTTCCCTAGTTGAAAATACGCCAGTCGGGCAACCAGCCACTCCCATTTCACCTGAAATGGGATTTTGTTTTGGAGTGTTTCTTTCCTTGCCAGGTGGCGTTCGGCGTTCGCGTTTTCATTTCGCAGACGTCGAACGCCTCGTATGGTATAGATGCTGAGATGCGTTTACGTTGGGTCAGGTTCGCACCAGATAGCGGTCAAGAAGCTATCTGGGACAGCCCTGTACTGATGAGAGCCAAGAGCTCGAAACCGGTCTGCAGGTAGTCAGCGTTCCTGAACCACTTAAGCGCAGCTCAGCGTTTAGGAAGGAAACACTTGCGATTTTATTCGTTTATACGAACTATCGCATAGGTTTCGGGAGGATGTAATGCAATGTTCTGCGTGGCATACAGCCAGGAAAGTAGTTGTTTTTCTCTCGTTATCTACCATTGTCGTTCATTTTATGAACTAGTTGTGGTAATGACTTTGAGTTTCTCTCTTTGTGAATTACATATTCATTAAAAGCCAATAACAGTAACATTAATTGAACTAAAAACATCAAATATTCAATAAGTGAAAGCGAAAGTGAATGTAAATTTGGGGTTCATCGCAAAGCTCAAATGGGTTTTGTCTGTGAGTGAACGAACATTTATTAATAGTTGCCACTATGTTAAGACGGAAATTTCAATAACGTCATATAGTATTGATAAATACGTTAATTACGAATGGAAATGCATTCCAATGCTGTATACACCAACTTGTTATCAATATAAGACGAGTGTTTAGAAAACGCTAGTGCTAGAAATATGCAGAAAAAATCCGTTGTCGAGAAACTGAGAATGTGAGACCAGAAATAACCACAGAAGAAATAACTGATAATGATAGGCCTCGAACAACAAAAACCATTCAAAAACAGAATATAATTTGAAATTTAGTTGATAAAGATCGAACAATTGACCTAAGGAATATAACACGACAAACAAATAAGTACTTGAAGGGCTCCTACTTACCGCACCTCTAGCAGAATTACATTCAATCTTGGAACCAAGCTATGGAACGGGTAAATCATTCAAGAGGAAACACATCTAGGTAGTTAGTTGAGATGGTCATACTCAACGATTCATCATAATGATACCTAATATTATTCACCCTATACAGTGTATCCCGCTTCAAAAAATGTAACCACCTATTCTTACTTATTGACCTCCTATGATCAGAATTACATTACAAAAATATCAGATAACTACATTAGGCATTATTTTACTTCGGAAACCACATAAAACGCGACACTTTTGAAAGATAAATTAGGTAAGTCCTATTTTCGAACAGTATAGAAGAACTGATTTTGTTGCCTGAGTGAGGTGATTTTCGAAAATGGCAACATTTTTTTGTTATCATGGAAATATTTTGGAAGCATTGAGGTTGTCATGAACATTGATCTTGAGGCACAGAAATCAGTATCCGTATATATCTAGTTTGGAAAAGAAACTTTCAGTCCTTAGGAAGATCACAGGCGAGTATCCAGCTTTGTTCCACGGGGGAGGGGGGGACAAGAGAAAAATGTAATTATATTCCACCGTTTTCTTCCAATTTGAAAACTATTTAAGGCTATCAAATTATTCAACTCCCTTATTATTTCAAATTATTCAACTCCTCATTATTTCAACTAAATATAATTCTGTTTTGGGTTCTATGTCACTTCGAATCAAAATATTCCTTGATTTTTGACGTGACTTTCATTCTGAAGTTGTGTTTTGTCCTCAGCGTCATTATTGCCAAGTGTCTCAAACGTGCTCAGCATGAGCACATACGATAGAATCTTTGGACATTGATGAACTCGGCTGCCGGGCATGGTGACGGACTACGGTGTCTTTAGTGCTCGAGTCGAGTGACAATATTATTACATAACCATATATATATTCTTGAAAAAATTAATTACCTGATCTGGAGAAATTGTTACTGAAAGGTAACAGAAATCCAATAAACCCAAAAGAAAAAACAAATCCTAATTCAACAAATTCAGACCCACATGTTGGTGCTTCCGAATATTTTCTTACTGCTACCCACCCGCAGTATGCGGGGTTTAAAATAGTGTCTTAAGTTATTCAAGTAATTTTTCTTTTCCACCAATAATGGTAGGTATATTCAGACTTTTTAACAATACTTAAATACTAACATAAGCGGATCTTCTTATTTATGAAAATTTGCTGATGATGAAGGATTAATCCTTCGAAACATGTCCTTTTGTCCATGACCGTTGCTCATTATTAAATTGTTTATGTGGTGGAGTAGTGACTATAAATTCTTTCACCCCTCCTGATTCATATCACCTCCACTGTAAGTTATGGATCACTTACGTTGGTTATAAACAGATCTAATTCATGATTGGTAATTAAGTGTCCAAGTCTTCGACTGCTGACAAAAATTCATTCACTGACTTCTAGAGCATACACTTCCAGAAATTGTGGAAAGACCGGAATCACCTAATTTCCACTTTCACTTGATAATATCATCCCTTCACAGCCTTCACACTAGGGCTGCGCGATATTGGATTTCAGTTATCGGTTATCGATAAGTTGAAATTTATCGATAAGTTCGATATATCGATATATCGATATTTATCGATATTTATCGATATTTATCGATATTTATCGATATTTATCGATATTTATCGATATTTATCGATATATCGATATTTATCGATATTTA